TTGTGTGTTTGTGTGTGAGTCTGTGTGTGTGTGTGTGTGTGTGTGTGTGTGTGTGGTCTGTGCCTATGAGTGCGGGTATCTGCAAAGGCCAGAAGAGGGTATCCACCGCCTGATTGACAGCTGTGGGTGCAGGGAAGGAAACTGTCTTGTGCCCCTGCAAGAGCAGATGTGCTCTTAAATACTGAGCCATCCCTTAGGCAATAAAAGCACCAGTCTTGATCGTCGCACAGGGAGGTGACAAATGCCTGGGAGGTCACCATGTTTTTCTTCAAAGGGAGAGGGACAATTCCAGTTGATAAACAGACAGAATCCAGAGCAGCTTTTCTGGAGTGCCCCTGGCTTTCACGGCTCTTGCCTCTGTAGAAAAGGGGTTTAATAAATAGTTACACAGCCAGAGAGCGAGCCCTGAACATCTGAGGGAAGACAGAGGACAGGACTGTCGGAAGCACGCTCTGGAGACCTCATCCCGAGAGAACTGCCTGGAAGAAGATCCGAGGTCACATATTTTATAAGAGTGTGGAAACGTTTGTTTCCACGCATGGAATAAATAAAGCATGTGCACACCGATATGTGTGCATGTGTGTGTATGTACACTTGCAGTCTGTGTGGGTGTGTGCACACATGCTTTATATACAGGCATGGATAACCATGTTTGTGCATATCTACGTATTTGTGTCCTGAAAAGGGGGACATATGACAACGGATTAAAGTAGCCAACGTCTGTGAGAGGAATTGGGTGAGTGGGCCATTCGTTTGCCTTTCTGTGGTTTTTGTTGGTTGGTTTAAGACGTAGCTTCTCCATCTAATAAACCACATGGGCGCTTCAGGTGATACTAAGCAAATTCAGACACAACCACACACCCCTTCGCTGTTACCCCTCAAAAGCAGAAGAAATCAGTCGGTAGCGAGTGGAACGTTTGCCAGGGTAGTCTAGAAATCAGACTGCAAATCTATTTGTCGTTTGCCAGTATGAGCTGTGTGGTTTCAGACAAGCTACCTTGCCTCTTGGGCCTCTGCTTTCACATTCGTGTTAAGGGAAGGGGTTAGATGTTAGTCAATGGGAGATGTGCTAGCAGAGAAAAGGATTCTCTTCAAATGGGGGTAACAACCTTACCATGCTTCTGGGAGGTTCGAGGCTACCCTTGGGGTAGGATTATCTTAAATTCCTTTCATTATCCTCTGCTCCATCTAAACAGCGTCCACAAGTAGTGAGTGGTCAAAGTGCTGCGGCGCTCACTCATGCCCACTCCGCTTTGCTCAGAGCGGCGTTTCCATCTCTTATACCTGCTGACCTTACCCTAAACTACTAATGTCCTAGGTTCTGGAGATGTTGTCCAGTGACCAAGGACATGCTTAGAATGTGAAGGTCCAAAGTTAGACACGCAGCACCAAGCAAAAAACGTTCTAAGCAACCCTTCCCTCCAGCATTACCGCAGGAAGACTGCTGGGAACAGCCCCTCAGGGAAAGCCTGCTGCCTGCCACAGACCGCACCCTCTCTCACAGCTTAGCTTCTCCAGCTGCTCGGGAGCAGAGAGCACCTGGCATGCATTCACTCATCTCATCGCAAAGACTCACAGCGGCAGTAAGCGGGGCACAAACCGCAGAAGCTACCGGAAGCAGGCCTGTGTTCAAGTATCTCTGTGCCTTTGAGCAAGCTGCTCAGTTAAGCAAGCTCCCTGGTCTTCCTCTATAAGACGCCTTTCCCTCCGTTACCACCGTTGCTCCAAGAAGAAAAAAATGTACTAATAAGGGCATCATCACAGCAAACACCGGCTGAAAGAATCAGTGACTAAACTGTGAGCTAAGTGTGAATGATTGACGAGGCCCATACAGTTACGTTTGTGAGATGAGCCCCCTCCCCGCCCCCCGAGGTTTGAACTTGGCAAACTCTTTCCCTTCCTCAGGTGTGAACATACACAGGAGTGAGAGGCTGGGGCTGGGACGGTCAGTGGTATTGTTTATGAGGGGTGACTTTAAAATCCCCTTATCTGAATTGTATAAGATAATGCCCCGGTGACTTTTTTAAAAAGCCAATTTCAAAATAATGAAACTCAAATGAGTACAAGTCGTGAGCCCCTTGTTACCCTGTCTACCAACTGAATTAAAAATCTACCAGTTGAATTAAAGTAAATAAGGCCTATCATAAAACCAAACCCTAAGCCTTAGTCTCACTTGAGGTATAAGACACGCTGGCCTCTTTTTGAGATCACTGAGGCCCGTGTTCTCATTTGCTGTATCCTTTGCTTTCTTCTTCCGCAGCTGCAGCTAACCTCAGACAGTTAAGCAACATTCCATGCCTACAGTTACAGACACAGCCTCTAGCCGGGTGTACTCCTCCTGTAGCGATTCCTTGTTGTAGCTAATGTGTTTAAGGGGACACATGTCAAACAGTTTCTGTTTTCCTTCGTGCGCTGAATTGCTCCTCTACTACTGTATGCGATGGCTGCAGCACAGGAGGAGGCTGCTGCTGTGATTTGACTGACCTGTGCAAACTCTTTCCAGGGCTGTTGTATAGTCTAGTTTGGGCATTTGTCATGTGACCCTCTCACCATGTAGAGCCCTGTGAAGACCTGGGGGTCTTCAGAGTCCTTGTCAGCAAGAAGGTCCTCTCCAGATGTAATCCCTCAATCTTGGACCCCCAGCTTCCAGAATCATGAGCTGAATAAACTTTTTAAATATATATATATATATAAATTGCTTGGATCCAGGCATATAGAGGAAAAATGGGGGACAAAGACAGACTGTGAGTCAAAACTCATTTGTTCTTATAATCTGGATTCCTCAAAGTTAATCTAGTTTCCTATGGTCTTGGCATAGAACATTTCACCTAGAACATTTCAGAAGTCGACCTTTTAAGTAATGCTGAATTAATTCTCCTCAGTAAACGTCAGCTCCTCATTCTACCTAATGTAATGAATCAGGAATTAACACCTGATTCACCCAGGCACTATTTACATAACCTTTTTCTTTCTTCT